CATACTGATGTTCCCATTGACCAAAAAGCTCACTTGCATTATCAATAAACCTATGCTGTAGACACCACGGTCTTTGAGTCACTTTCCAACAGTCAAATCCTGAAGGTTCGAATCTCAGTGCCTGCAGTCCACATGTCGAAGTGGCCTTGGGCAAGACACTGAACCCCCCGTTGCCCCCGATGGTTAGAGCCATCGGTTGAGGTGGTGCCGCAGATGGCTGCCATCGGTTCTGTACCGGCAACAAATTCCTTGTGTGTAACATACTTGGCCAATAAAGGTGATTATCCTTATCCTTATCCTCACTTGCACTCAAACCAGAACCATTCAAGTGGATGTGTTCTTTGTCATTGGAACCTCCTGCATGCTGTATTATACAGTACATGTTTCAGGCATTTCTTAAAATAAAAAACAAGCGTTGAGTGTTTTCTTTAAATTGCCTGCTTTCCCACTGGTTTTTGTCACAAGGTAAATATCTTCAATATAAATAGGCTGAAGAGTGTTAAATGTGTAGAACATCTGTACGTTCTGGTTTGAATAAGTTATGGCTCAGAGAAAAACACAGGCCATTTTTGACATTAAACACACTAAGGAGAGGCTAATTCTGATGACCCCCCCCCCCTTAAAAGCAACCTCTGATGAAATGCCACTCGTGCACATGAACATACAGATGAAGTGCGTGAAGGAAGAGTAAAAATGACAATGGATGCAGGGTGCTTTGTCATGGAGAAAAAAAAGGCAGTGCCATATTTCATCCTGCCCTCAGCATCTCACACAGTCACACACAGGAATGCAGATCCAAAGCTTTCTCGCTCTGGAGTATTTGTCTCATAATAGTGCTGCAAAGAAATATGTTGGGGCTGTGTGGGGGGGAAATGATCACATCAAAACCCATTAGCACAGCATGCCACGAGATGATGGGTGCACGTGTGTGTGCGTGTGACAGGTCCACAGACGTGAAGGCCTGTGAGTGACAGAAAGGCTAATTGACAAGCGCAGACTCACAGGAGCGGAGAGTCAATGGGGCCCGCGAGAGCGTACCTTCTCCCAATGATGAAGCCGAACACCATGAACACCAGGATGATGGTCCCTGCTACGGCCACCACCGCTATGATGATGACAGGATTTTGCTCGCTGGAGACAATCGCAGCTGATGAAATGGACGCAGAAACACACAGACAGACAGAAATGCAGAAATGCTCAGAAATGCTTCAGCACATCAAAGAGTACAATCTGCAGGACATAATTGAGCCCAGTGAGTGGAGTAGAGATTGATAAACCCCCTCCTCTCCTTCCCTCTGAGGGAGTGGAGGAGGGACACTTCTATTTTTGAGCTGTCCTCATACACACGACTCTACTGTTTCAGAAAGTGGGCTTAATAGTCCCAGACGGCGACGGCAATGCCCTTCATCTCAAACAAAGACACATTCAGGTTGGATTGTTTCCCATTCCGAGCTCTCTCAGTACTCAGACTGTTTGCGTTGACAAACTGCTGATTGCTCCTAAGAAAGGCTTACCATAGCATTGCACAAAGTCAATGTGAGTGGTGTATGTGAGGAAAAATTCATGCATTTTAAATCAAGTGGACCTGAGCTATATAAATACTTGGAAAGGGAAGGCCTGTCTGAGGAGGAGAGGGGATGAAAAATGTGGTGACATTTGATCAGCTGTTACTCAATCAAGCTTCAATGTGTTACCAGTTGTCTATGCTGGGAAGAATTAAGAGCACTCAACTGTCACATTACACACTTGCAGGTTTCCCCTCTTGAGGCTGACACAGAGGAAGCCAGAGGTTCAAGGACATTGTGATTGGACTGCAAACTTCTAACCTTGTTACAGTACACACTCTGCATGCAGTACAATTAATTAATGTATCCTTCTATGCAGAAATGTTGGATGTAAGGTGGGCTGGTTAGATGGAGGGGCTTTAAACCTAACAGAAATTAATGCAATAATGATTAACGAGGGTCTTCACAAATCAGAAGAGGGATTTTAACTTTAAAAAAAAACACTGCAGGTACATCTTTCAAAAAACAATTGTTTATAAACAATTGTGATTGTTATGAAGGTTAATACATTGTAATTGAAGCTTTATTACTGGCTTTATTTATTATCATATAAGCCGTTACAAAGTACCACACACTCTCTAATAGACTGTTCTTAGTATCTGGAAAAGTGTTACAGAGCATCTGCACCAAAATCTCTTTATTATCCACTGCAAAGTCTTGCTGTTGGCTGTTTACATAGTAGCTAATTGCTTAATCTCTTTTTTTCTAAGTGAGATGAGAAGATCAATATCAATCTCATGTTTGGGTGCTCAGTAAAGCGCTGGAGTCAGCACATGGTTAGCCGAGCCTATCCTCTAGACTACACAGCTACTAGCCTGGCTCTATGCAAAGTGAAAAACTACATTTAGCACCACTGAACCCCACCTCCCAGTCAGCTGGAGCCTTGATTTGTACCATTTGATGTGTACAGAGACCTATACCAAAACCAACACTACTCAACCATATCTGACAGGAAATGGCAACACCAAGTAACCATTTTTATTTTTCTGTTTGTGTACAGATTAAACAACAATACAGTGTTTTAATTAATCAGGACCAGTTGTGTTGATAGAGTTGTGTTTATTTTCATTGTGGACAGAGCCAGTCTAGCTGTTTCCCCCTACTTCCACTCTTTATGCAAAGCTTAGCTAATAATAATGCAGAGACATGAGACTGATATCATTCCTCATCTAGGTCTCAGAAAGGAAGCTAGTAAGCCCATTTAATAAATGGTGAAATCACTTTAATGTAGCACACGTTATTACCAAAACATTTAAAAAGGAAGTCTTATTAAAGAAGAAAGGGTCATTAACAGCAGTTTTAACTTCACTGAGAGACGTCTGAAATCTGATATGTTCCCATGTTTACTGTATCCACATAGGATGATAGGCATAACACAAACTGCTCACAGAAGCATCCCTCACCAAAACTCACTACAACACACTGTGACACTCAGGGCAAAGCATATGTAACTGATTAGATTTATATCAGTTTGTCTTCATGACGCTACAGTAGCTTGTCCTTGTGCTTTTTGGTTTTTCAGCACAATCTGTATTGGTTTTGCTTGAAAGCAAATCATTTCCCCGAGCTATTACTCTAGCAGCTGATAACATTAACAGGCTGTGCATATATTTGGTTGGTTGGTGCTCCAAAATGTTGTGCTGATGTACTGATGTGGTGAAATCTGTTGAGGACTTGGCATTAGTGCCACTGAAGACAAAAGATGATCAGACATTCAGTTTGATTCTGCTACACACAACTAATCTGGTGAAAACTGACAAAGGTATTGAGGATAAACCATCCTGAATGTCCAAATACTGAGCTGAACATCTCTGCACAGACTTGGATGCTACTGTTATCTGCCCAAAGCCTATTTTCTGTTCATATCTGAATAAGGTCTACATATTCGTTTACATCCCTACTACCCATAAAACATACAGTATGTTGCTAACTGCATCAGTGTCAGTGGAAGGCATGTTTATTCTTGGATCTGTAGCCTGTGTGTGACCCCCTACCTGTAGCCTCTTCCTTGGTGGTTATCTCCAGTCTGGGGCCGTAGGTGCCGTATCCTGCCTCTGTGAAGGCCCTGATCTGGAACACGTAGGCCGTGCTGGGCTTCAGGTTATTCACTGTGGCTGATGTGGACTTGGACCTCACTGTGGAGTAGATCCGGTCCTTCTGATCCTAGACAGAGAATAAATCATCTTTTATTCCAAAATGTAATTTTTTTTTAACCAACTGGGCAAAATAGAACATTTCACTGGTGTGTGGAAGTCCAGCTGATAATTGAGTCTTATTGAAGTGTTGTTATCTTTATGCCTTTGCTTTATAATAAATACTGCAGATATACTTCATAGGATGTAATTACCTGCACTTTGTAAATAGAATGAATGTAAATTACCAATGTTTAATCCAACTAAATACACAGGACGGTGATTTAAGATGAAACCATTTAAATTTAGTGGCCATTGTACTCTTCACTCTATATCTCATAAATTCTAAAATAGTGTACAGCTTATTAACATTCTATTTGTCAGAGCTTCATTTAAAACAGGTTTTCATAAGAAACATTTATTTTCCCAGTGTTTCTAAGCATAATTAATCACACTTAAATAAAATGTATTTCTCTATTCTGATCTGCTCCTATTTAAATTTGCTGTTGATTCACTCTCAAAGCTTCCCGTGTTTACCTGTTGAGCATAATGCACAGTTTTACAACATTAACTCCATGTGTACAAGAGAGTCATGTTGTACTCTGCCATTTTGAGTTTGTTTTGTGAGAAATATTGTTTACATTCACAGTTTTGTTCCAATTGCTTCTTCTTTGCAGTTTCTATTAATCACTGTTAAGATACACTTCCTGCACAGACGTTTCACAATAAAAGCCATGGCGTAACCCATCTTTTCTTAGTAAATTGATGAAATGTCATCAAGAAATAAGGTTTATTAACAGTAGCTTAGTAATGATTGACAGAACTGTTGAATCAACTGGGACTGATTAGCTGAGGAACTCAGTGTTTCTGTTAAAAATACAGTCCCTTATTAAACTTTTAGAAATAATACTGTGGAAGACTGGGAATTTTGCTGAAAGTACTAGATACAGTAAGCTATTGTGCTACTGTACAGAAATTCCACTTGCGCCAATGTTTTCAGTCAGCCTTAATTTGAGTACCAGTTTCACCTTGAGAATTTGTAATATTAACATATTCAAATAAATTTGCTGTCTTACTGTGTTTTATACAGACTGTAAAGCATGGATGGTCTCAAATTTCAACTGAAATAATTTTTTTTACCATTAAGTGTCCTACCATATAAAAAATAGAAATACATATGAAAACATCTTCTCCATCAAGGAATCCATTTGGATGCACAGCCTGTGCACATTGTGTGCTTTGTTATTTATCTGTAAATGTTTTGCTCGGCAAAATCCCAAATAGAATGCCAGGGTCTGTTAGTGATGTAGTCGTTGTTTCCAATTTTCCACTTTTACAGCTGGGCAGACCACAGCCACAGTATGTGACAAAGGACACTGATTCAGTTTGTGCAAGAGGCTGTGGCCAGCAGTACTGGCATCGGGGCTCTGCTACCCTGCCTATTATTTGCCAGGTTAAATTTGCTCCATTAAACCTAACTGTAAAAAGCTGGTGTGTTCAGACCAAAACTACAGTGAAGCAGCACTATAATGTATGTTGAAGGGGAAAGGAGATAACAGTAACAGATTGCTAATTCTGGCAGTGCAGCAGTCATGAACTGTGTGTATGCTAGCACATGTGTGGGGGTGGCTGTGAAGGACTACAGCCTGATTAAAATCTTATGAGCATCTCATTCATTATTGCAATTATGAGACAAAGAAGGTACTTGCAGAATCTTGTGAATTCCACTCACAGCAGCATACAGATAGAATACAAAATGAAGAGTCAGCAAAAGTGAATGTGAAGTGAGAGATGGAGGGGAACGGATTTTAGGAAGAGAGAAACAAATCTACTGCAAACTCACTTTTTCATAGTATTTGATTTCATATTCCGTGATGACGCCGTTGGGTTGCTGGGGCTCCTGCCAGGAGAGCTGGATGCTGCGCTGCTGTACTTTTTCCTTGATGACCTCACTGACCTGGGATGGAGCTGTTTAGAGAAGAACATGTCAATAAGAAGAGGGCACACACATGCATATGGCCAGCCATAAATCAGCTGCACAGAGTCCTCCGCTGACACTCAGAGGGCCTCACCAGCTAATGAATATTCATGGGGATGCTTATAAATGTTTATGCCTCATGATCGAAATTTCAATTACAGTGCAAACAGCGGAAGATGGTATTACCCCAGCAAGTGGAAAACTGCAACTTGTAGATTATGAATGACAATTCAGTTCAATTAATTCCAACATTTCCAGCGGAACAAGCAGGCACTTATTCTCCCTGATGACAGACCTATTCATAAAGCCTCTTGGAGGGAGAGGGGTGTACCTGTAACCTTCTGACACTAGTCTTATGCACACTAATTATCTCTGACTCTTTGCATAACTCACTTTAAGCCTGGCAGCCTGGATTTGGTGCTACCGCATTTAGATTTGCTAAACAGCACACATACATTTTTTTTCTTTTTGTTATCAACACTTACAGGTAATCGTCGGTTGTGACCATAACAACCTTGTATACACGGAACTTACATTGTCTCAGGCCTACGACTTTTTTATTTAGTGTCACCAGCTCTAATTATACTGCTGCAACAACTAACGCTGCTCCTGCTCCTGTCTGCTATAACTGCTGTAGTATCTCTCCCCCCCATTCATGGCTGCAGGTGGTAGAATCTTATCAGTAATAACAAATTAAAACTAAACAAAATAAAAATATTTTATTTGTAGACACAGTGGTAATATGGTTGTGGAAAAGTGGTTTAAATTTATTTATTGAGAAAATCCCTCCTCTTCAGGGAAGCCTTTCACAGTCCACAGCAAGCAATGAAATGGAGAAAATATAATTATATGAAGTTTGGGAGCGGGACCTGACCCATTCCTTTTCCGCAATACAGAAACCCACTGAAAACATCATAATCCCACTTCTGCTTTTTGTTTTACAAAGTTCAGTTTTGTTTAGGTTTTTCTGAAGCTTGTGTGACACACTCATTTCTTTTTTCATTTCTAGAAAGTTCCTGAAGATGACTTTCAACAGATCAAAAGATTTTTAATTCACTTCAGATCTTCACTCATAAGAGCTTTATGACTTAAGATTTGATAACATGGGCTGTGTAAGTACTGCTGTTGGCTCTGCAGCCATGCTTGCTGTCTCTAGTATAACTTTCGTTACTTTTACATTATTATCATCGTGTCCTTAATTATAATAACCAAAATTTTTACAGCACTCTTCTTAAAGACCACAGTAAGTTTTTTTGGATTACTAAATTTCACCCCAAGGACATGATGCTTTCAAAAATTGTATTACAAATCTGCTTCCTGTAAACATACTGTGAAATCTTGATGACTCATGCTGCTCTTGGGACAAAAAAAGATTAATTAACACATCTTAGCAAGTCTGAAAAGCTATCCAGGGGATGACTCGAACTCCAAGGTAAAAGCCACTTGTCGGAAGCTGTGCTTTGATTTGTTTCCTGAATCTTTTACAGATCATCAAAGTGCTTTCAAATGAAAGAAAATCTTATGAATGACGAATTAACATCAAAGAAAAAAAAATTCTAAACAACAGTGAGATGATACAACTTCAGCTGATCATTTCATCATGAGCAATTTACAGCAAGCTTCTATTTATCACCTGGCATACCATTTGATAGTGTAGTATGTTTTAAAATCTGCTCAACCATGAGTCAACTGACAGAGATGGCCTATCAACAACCAGCAAGAGTCAAAGCCCCCTGTCCCTGGCCAAGCAGAAGCTGCTGACATACTGAAGTGTCTGTGGTAGGTTTTCCAAGATGGCAGTCCTCGGTGTGCGACATCGCAGTTCTCTCAGAGCCAGGTTGTTTCTCTTTTTTGCTTATTTGTGCCATGTTAAAGCAACAGTTAAGGCTGCAAACTTTATTTATGACCGGGTGACTTTGTTACTGCTAAGAGAGCGCAGTCTTTTCAGAGCTTTTGACCCGAGCACGTTGGACTCTCACCCAGAGCTAATGTACTATGTCGACACAATGCCCATAAGGCGGCGGGACCAGACGATGTACCCCCCGAGAGTGTTGAGAGCCTATGGGGGATCAACTAGCTAGTGTGTATATATACATCTTCAACCTGTCTTTAATCCAAGCAGTAGTTCCTCGCATTTTCAAAAAAATCCATTATCATACCGGTCCCTAAGACATCAGACACATCCACTGTGAATGACTTCAGGCCAGTGGCGATCACATCAGTCGCCATGAAGTGCTTAGAGAAACTGGTCCTCACACACGTTAACCACATTGTCCCGGACACTGTAGACCCCCTCCAGTTTGCCTACCGCCCCAACAGATCAGTGGACAACATGATGGCTCTGCAGACCAATGGTACAGTAACATTAGAAATACTTTCTCAGCTGAACCTAAGCCTCATTTTGGTAGATCTGACCACCTAGCAATCCGGCTCAAACCTGCTTATGTAGCCGCTCTTATTTCTACGTGGCTGTCAAGCCTAATTTCTGTGTTGTGTCTTTAATGATGAGTTGCACACAGGGATTTGCCATCCACAGGAGAGGAGTTTATTCTCTCCTCAGCTTTCCTCAGTAACTGAGTATGTGCTAAATAAATCAAAATAATAATACAGATAAAAACACTCTTATTACCTTTGTGGAAACAAATAAATCAGTACATGCACTAGAAGACAGGTCTCTCTGTTACACATCTGAAGGGCAAAAAAAAAGATGACAGACTCCATGTGAGACCTTCAATGCGCTTCAACCTAGCTAAAACATTGCAACAAGCACTAGTTAGCATGTTAATAAAGTGGTGTACTTCACATAGGAAAGAACGATTTTAACACAGTTAGCAATACAATAGTGAACAGTGGATTACAACTCTGTACCATAACAGTTTGAACAGTAAAGTGCATTTTTTTATGGAACGCACATCCATATGCGATGGATGTAGAATGGTGTGTGTTTTCCCCAACCAAAAATCATGGTTTAATAGTGATATAAAGCAGAAAATCAGGAAGAGACGAGAGGATTTTAAGTCAGGGGACCAAGCAGAGTACAGGAAATAAGTCCATCAGAGCTGCAAAGAGAGCATACGTACAGTCTTATGCAAAAGTTTAGGCACCCCTTGATAAATAACAGATTTTGGTGATTTTTTATTTGAACAGATGTTAACACAGTTTCTCTTGGAAATGGAAAAAATGCACAATATTTTCAGCAAACAGTGATGCATAGTTACTTCTTATGCCATAAATTGAACAAAAATAAAAAATAAAAACAT